CGGCACCAGGTGGAGGCCCCGACAGCGGCGCTGCGCAGCCCGCCTCGGCACCAGGTGGTGCTGCACAGCCCACCTCGTCATCAAGCGGCGCTGCGCAGCCCACTTTCTCTGCGCTGCCTGCCAGCGCGACCGAGACGACAGTGGGTTCCTACAACGTGGGAATCCAGTTGTCGGAGGTCGGTGGGAGAAATTGGAAGATCAAAGAGCGCCGTTTTGCATCGGACATTGCCAAGGTGTTCCAAGTTCATGCGATGGACATATTTTGCTTGAGCGAGCTCGGCGAGGTCCGAAGGGGCATCGGCGAGAACATCCCGGGAGGCGACGTCTACGCCTGGATTCAAGAACTGCTTGCTGACAGTGCGGCACCGCCTGTCCGTGAATATGTCGACGGACGCTACTCGACGCTCGGGAAGTCCAATCGAGTGGCGGTCCTTCAGTGCAAGCTCGTCAGCGACTTCGTGCCGGACCAGGCAGACCGGCGCTTCCAGCACCTCCTTGTTCGCGTTGGCGACGACAGCGAGCCCGTGTCCATCGTCAATTGCCATGCGCCCGCCTCGAAAAAGCGAGGGTCTACAGTGGGCGGGCGCAGGCGCACCTTCCTTGCTTGCCACAATGCGCGCGCGGGGGATCGCTTCATCTGGGGCGGCGACTCCAACGCGGGGGTCATTCAGCTCGCCACCCTGGTGCAGAGTATCGATGACAGCCACACAGCTTGCCAAGTATCGATTGACTCCAGCGCTGCACAGCCTGGATCACTGCAGCTGGTCTTCTCTCACCCGTTGAGGTTCAAACACGGCGACCTCGCGATGACCCACGGCCTGCGCAGCGTTCAGACGAACTTCGAGGTTGGTGCGTTTTTCGACGGAGTGAGTGATGCTCATGACCTCGTTGTGGCCAAGGTGCTTGTGCCTCGAGACCTCGAGAAGGCGGATGAGCCTTCGTCGGTTCTGCGAATCACCGCAGCGCGCCCTCCGCTGACGTGGGAAGCGACGCGCAGCCCGCCACGCAGCGCTGCACAGCCTGCCACCTCCTCCAACGTGGTACGCAGGCCCGCCACGTCCCGTGTCAACGCTATCTTCAGCAGCGATGCCTCCGCCGAAGCAGCGTTGCAGGAGGTGCTCGAGAAGATCGGCGGAGACTTCCTGTTCGGCAAATTGGCGAACAACGTAGCCTCGTCGGACGGCCGCTTCGAGGCGGCAGCTGCCCCGCACATCACCGAGAAGCTGGGGGACTTCTTGCGGGTCGTCGAGGAGCAGCGCGCGAATCACATGCGCCGCGCGCCGGGCCTGGGCCCCGACTCGATCTTCACGAATTTTCACATGTAAGAAATCCACAAGGAGTGGATGAACGATTATAGGTCGTGGATGAACGCGGAAACGGCCCAGAAGCACGAGCGGTTGCGCAACGGGAGGTGCGGGCAGAAGCGCGCCAGCTCCGACGAAGCGCTTTCTCCGCGCACTCGTTCCAAATCATCGGCAACAAACGCGCGTTGCTCTCCGCCATCCAGCGCCCAATCTGCAGTGCTGCGCTGCCTGCAGACGCAATGCGGCGGTTCATGGACGCGTGGAAGCAGGGGAAGTCGTCGACTGACTACAAAAAGAGGAACGCGACGGAGAGGGGGGAGCACGGCGACGACGAGGGCGAGGGCGCGCCCCCGCCGGGCCCGCGCAAGCGCCGGGCAAGGTCCAGGTCGAGGAAGCGCCGTGAGCGAGCGAGCGGCACGCACCTCGCAGCTCGCGGGTCGCGCCTCGCAGCTCGCAGCTCGCATCCCCCAACGCCGCCCCAGGACGGCCCAAGGGGCTCCCAGGAGGCCCCCAAAACTGCCCGAGAGGGCCCCAAGACGGCCCAAGAGGCGCCCAAGACGGCCCCAGGACGGCCCCAAGAGGGGGACCGCGAACCGACAAGTCTAGCCTCTCGCCCCGAGACTCTCCCAGGAGGCCCCAAGAGCCCCCCAAGAAGCCCCAAGAGGCGCCCCAAGAGGCCACCAGGAGGCCAAAATCATTGATTCCCGATCGGAAGCATGCATTTTTGGCATACACGGCTCTTCGGTTTTCACGGCGTTGACGACGGTCCAAGATGCCCCCAAGACCGCTTCAAGACGACCCAGGAGGCTCCCAAGAGGCCGCCAAAACGCCGCAGGAGGCGCCCAAGACGGCCCAGGAGGGCCCCAAGAGGGGGACCACGAACCGAAAGTCTAGCCTTTCGCCCCAAGAAGCTCCCAGGAGGCCCCAAGAACCCCCAGGAAGCCCCAAGAAGCCCCCAAAAGGCGCCCCAAGAGGCCCCCAAAAGAACCCCCAAAGGGCCCCAATGAAACGACCAAGAAGGCCCAGAGACGCCAAATACAGAGCGATTGGCAACGCAAAAAGCTCTTCGCACCGATTCTCCCAAGAGCGAGGGGCGACGTAAACAAGCTGATAAGACCAAGGCCCCCACCAGAAAGCGGCGACGCAACAAGTTCCTGACGCCAAGGCCCAGCCAAGGCTCAGGAACGGGCGGCCACGCAGCAATCTCTGAAGACCCTGGCTCCCAAGAACGAGGGGTGACGTAACAAGCTGTCAGCGCCAAGGCCCCCAGTGCGAGCGGTGGCGTGAGTAATTCCGGTTTCCGTTTCTGACGCGTTCTTTCCGTTTCTGTGCCGGGCCAGGTCTGCGATCCAGCGCCCTCCCATGTGTGCCGCGTCAGTGCCGTTGTTCTTGCCCAGGGGCCATCAGTTGCAGCGCCCTCGCGCGCTCGCCTGTCCTTGCCGAGGCCATGGCGACGACGGGCGCGACTCCCAAAAGCAGCGTTGCGCAGCCTGCGGCAGCAGCAGCCCGTGCTGCACAGCCTGCTCCACAGCCTGCGGCAGCAAGTGGCGGTGCTGCACGCCTTGCCACACTGCCCCTGCGCGAGCTGAACAAAAGGAGCGGACAGTTCGGGGCATGGGCCGTTGTTGTCCGACAAACCCAGGTTCATACCTACGAGTACACGTGGGATGGCAAACCGAGAACTGGGAAGACGTTCTCTTGTACCTTCGTGTCGCCACATGATCCCACTGAGTACTGCATGGGCCAGATGCGGTGGAGCAAAAAGGACGAGGACAAGTTCCGCGCGGTTCAGGACAAGCTATCCGACGGTCTCGCTTTCATTATGACAAAAGTTTGCATCGTCAACGACGCGAAGAAACAGTGCATTCGCGCCCCCATCCAGACTGTCGTGAACGTGAGCGACACAGTCTTCAGTCCTTTGCTGACCAGCAGGGGCACCCAAGATTGCCATCCTGAGCCTCCCGCGACAATCGCAGATTGTGCAAACCTCACCAACCAACAGTTCTTCGACGTGACGGCGCTGGTCAAATCGGCGAGCCCACTCCGGCCCGCGGGCCGATCGGGCAACCGCGTCGTCTTCGACGCAGAGATCACCGACGGCTCTAAGTCCGGCGACCGCGTTCGCACGATGCTGCTGACCGTCTTCGCCGACCGGGCGACTAGCCCGAACGCTGGTGAGCCACCGATCTGGGTCTTCTTGAATCGCGCGGCGGGAAACGGGGTCGTGGGAGGCGGTGCTGCACAGCCTGCTCCACACAACCTGTGAGCTTCTTTCGTATGAAAGGTGCTCAAGATGATGATGGGGGCGTCTCCTTCACTACGACGAAGAACACCATTATCGTTGGAGGTGCTACAACTGGCAAAGGGGCATCGCCTTGCAGCAGAGGCCGCCACCTTGCTTGGCCTCACTGACTCCGACAGCTTTGCCGTCAAACAAGTTTGAGGAATGGGTCGCCAGGGACTTTTCAACGGAGCTTGCCGCGGAGACAACGTGCGCGCTCTTCAAGCCCATTGCGAACACCGCGACCACAGGCGCGGAAGCTCTCGACGCAGCGAAGGAGACGTCCTGGCAGTTAAATTGTGCCCGCGTGGGAGAGCCGCCAGCGGGTGGCACCATCCGCGCCAACGATGGCAAACGACTCTGGTTCCCTGTGACGGTCCGCGACTGCGCGGGCACGCTCGCGCTGTGCATCCAGGAGGCGGCCGCTTTCAAACTCAGCGGCTTCTATGAGGCAGACCACTTCGAAACAGCTTTCGTTGCCGGCAAGGTGTGGTTCCCGCAAATGGCTTTAGTGAAAATCACCCGACAACTCAAGACCGCGACCGCTGCACAGGAGAGCGCCGAGCAACCGCCGGCCAAAGTCGACGTTCGCATCGCGGACGCAATCTGCCAAGACTTAGCCGAGTCGCCCACTGAAGCATCGGCTCGTCTGCTTCCCCTTCTCAATCCAGAGAGCGCCAAATCCGACGTCGTGATGCCCGCAGCTCTGCACATGCTCCGGAAGTCTGCACATCACACGCTCGCAGTGGAGAGCATCGTGCCGGACATCCCGGAGAGCTGGAAAGCCAGTTTTGTGAACGTGCCCTCAGCCACGACGATTATTCGCCCGTGTTCACAGGTGCTTGCTCTCGTGGAGGCATCGCAACCGTCGAGCCTTCAAGAAGCGGGGGCCGGCGGCTACAATATCACCGCAAACAACGTTAGGGACCTGCTGCATGACGCGAGCGATGCCGGCGGCGTCCAACTCACCTCCCTTTGTACCTTGGAGAATCTACAAGACTTCAAGCGGGATCCACCCCGCACGCAGGCGAGCAAGAAACAGGCAGCCTTAGTGCTGATATCGTCGATACTTCAAGCGAGCAGCGCTGGACAGATCGCATCCTTCACGGTGGACTCCGTGCAGCTGTTGCAGCAGACGGAGGTCGACGCAGTGAGGGTCCGCCTCAAATGAATGCTTTTCCTCACCACGCTCGCCGGGCACATGTCCTCCAGGAAGCGGGCCGCGTCCGAGCCCACGACGAACGAGGAGATCCCCGCGAAGGCTGCAAAGTGTCGCGCGCTGGGGCGCCATCCCACTGCGGCACCACAGCCTGAGTTCCCTTGAAGCACCGCTGATGGTTCAGATCACAATGCTGAACAGCTTGTTACAAGATGGTGTGAGCAGCAATGCTGGACAGCTTGTTATCGAGACGGTTCCAGTACCAGGCGCCGACTGCTGTGCGAACAGCCTGTGTGTTGAGGCAGGCTCGCGCTCCCCTACCCATCTCTTAGTTATACTCGGTCCATGCACCCATCTCCGCAGTGCGGATGCAGCAGCTCGTGCCCCGCGCCATCTGCAACAGCCTAGCAGCGCCGAGTTATGCGTAGCAGCGGGGCTGCAGATCCGTGGCGCTGCACAGCCCGTGGTGTCTCGCAAGCCGCCCTTCGTTTGCATCCAATAGGTATACCCACATGCAGCAATGCCATGATGTAGACGTAGTTCCGAGCACAGTATATGACTACCACCACCAAGATCAATAACGATCTGCGATGCGATGTGGTGCAGTTTTGATTTGGTTAAAAGCCCGCTTCAGGAACTCTCCATGCCACGGCGCCTGAGAGCTGCGCCGCGCTCCTTTGGCGTCGAAGCGTCGTCGGGCATGACCCTGCCCCTAGCCCTTCTTACGGAAAATTGCTGTTGCGGGCGGTGGTGGTGTGTACAAATTGGCCTCGCAGCTTGCACGCGCTTCCTGGGAGCAGGAGAGCGGCCGCATCCTCGCAGCAAGGCGAATCCGCCGTGCTGCACAGCCCGCGATTGCTGGATGGCGTTCGCCGCGGCATGACAGAGCATTGCGGCATGACAAAATGCAGTGGCCAAAACCAAAGATGTGCCTCGCTCCGCATCCCGTGCCAGCTCCCAATCCGATTGTGTACGTTGTATTCGAAATTCGTTTCGGGGCCGCAGGGGGCCCTGCGCGGTTTGGCCGGGGGGCTTGTCCCCCCCTTGTCCCTTCCGGGTTCTATGTCCCTCCGGGTTCCGGTGTGCCTCGAGCGCTAGACGTGATCAGCCTCGTCGGTGACCCAGATGGCCAATAGTGCCGGCAGCGGGCCATGCAGTTGCAAGATGTCTGCCAGCTGAATGGAAAAACCTGCCGAGTCTGCCAGCAGAGTTGAACAAGCTGCCACGCAAAGCAAATGCTGGCTGCGTGCGCGCACGCACTCCGTTGACGCGCTGCAAACATTACAAACGCGCCACCTACCGGCACCGGTGTTGCAGTGTCTTGTTGAACGCTATAGCAGGACGGCGATGCCTCTGATTTGCTTTGCATGCGAGGTATTCTTATCAACCGCGATGCGAAATGCAGCCCGAGCTTGCGCCTCAGAGGTCGGACAGAAACTATTGTGTTGTGCTGAAGCATTTGCCGGCAGAGACTACCAAGGACGGCCTGTAGATGGCTTCGGCCACTGGCGTCGGGGAGTGGCCATGCAGCGGGCGTGCCGGCGGGAACCATGGCGCGGGGCCACTGCTCAGGCAACAGAGACCACGGTCGCGGAGCCCGAGAAGCAATTGCATCGAATATTTGAGAGGTACCGCGTAGCCCTGCTGCGCTCGCGCGAGAAGACCCGTGCTGCACGGCCGGTCCGCCAGAGTAAAAAAGCGGCGCAAGTCAACCATGCGCCCCGCCACCAACGGTCTCTCACCAGCGGCGCCGGCGACTGATGACTCGATGTCACTCGGATTCACGGAGAGCGAGGCCAGTGCTGCACAGCCTGGCCGACCGCGAGTCACGGCCATCATTGCAGGTGCCGGCCCCAGTGCCAATATTGTTCAACCTGGCTCAGCAGCAGCATCCGCGCCAGCACCAGCGCCAGGAAAAGTCATCGGCACCACTACCACGGCCCCTAGTGTTGCACAACCTGGACCAGGCAGAACGCTGCAGCACTTGTGCGCGAAGTACCAGATCACCGCGTTCCAACGACCCTTCTATTTGCTCATGATTATGAAACTACTCCCGGTTCAGTGGGGTGACCACGCGGAACTCTTGCTGCGAACGCCCTGGTCGACGGCCTGGGGCGGAGGCAAAGTCGTCAACGCCTTGCTCTTTAACGGGGGGCGCATCGTGCCAGGGAGCGCTGCTGATATGCGGAGGAACGCTTGGGATCAGTGCTACTGCCAGAGCTGCAGAGCGAATGAGGTGTTTGCTTGCGTGCTGCGTCACAGCGAGTTCGGCGATCGCCTCTTGCAAATAAGCTGCGAGCACATCCCTGCTCAAATGCGACGGCCGATTGTTAACTTGAAGCGCTTCTGCTACAAGATCTGCGAGTTGCGGAAGGGGAACCAGTCACGGCGATATGTGTACTACTGGTTATTCGACACAGTCCCTGCGCGCCAAGAGTGGATCGGGCGACTACGACAGCGGGGAGGTTGTGGTCGCACCACTCTGGTGAAGCCGCATATTCCAGCGCCGATGATGCCCGCCGAAACAAGGCTGAACAGCTTGCTGCACCGATCTGGGAGTTGCTGCTGCTGTGCAGTTTCGTAGGAACGTTCGGTGTAGCAGGTGTTGCACAACCTTGCTCAATGCCAAGTCGTGCGGTGTAGGCCAAGGCGAAGGCAAAAGCAAAGGCAAGAGCAAAAGCAAATGCAATGCAAAGCAAAAACCAAACCAATGCGAACATGCAGATGTAGATGTATATGTAGGTGTAGGTGTAGATGTGGATGTAGGTGTTGATGTAGATTTAGATGTAGATGTAGGTGTAGATGTAGGTGTAGGTGAAGATGTAGATGCGAGTCTCGCTGTTGATGTAGATGTAGATGCAGGTGTAGATGTAGCTGTAGCTGTAGCTGTAGATGTAGATGTAGATGTAGATGTAGATGTAGATGTAGATGTAGATGTAGATGTAGGTGTCGATGTAGATGTATGTGTATATATTTATGGAAATGTGAAGAGTTTCCCAGTGCCCCTGGTTGGTGCAGATACAAGTTGCTTTCCTAGAGGCTCCAACTCCTAGGTAGGGTCGCGCTGGGACAATTTCTAATTGTTTCATCCTGGGCCTCTTCCTGGCCACTAGGGGGCCAGGAATCATTAGAAACGAGCACACATAGAAATGAACACGGTGAGAAATGAGCGACGTGTACCTTCTCTTACCCTGCTCGCACAGACGAGCGTCGCTGCGCGCGCCCGTGTTGCGGCTGCGCTGTGACTCGCCGGGGCCAAGTTGGAGACTGTTTTCGCCCCTTCGGCCAGTCAGGTTGCGATGCCATGCTGTCACGGACCGACGTCTGCATTGGCGCGGCATTGCTAGCAACGTGTGGCAGGTACATTGGCATACGGATGACATTGAATATGTTGTTGTTGCTGCCCATGCGCCAGCACACTATGAGCCATTGTGTTGGCCAATGATAACCCAAACGGCTATGAATGAAGAATTCGTGCAATTATTATAGTGCTGCCCGTGGGGAAAGAAACGCTTAGCGTTCAGCTGGCAGATGGACGGGGGGAAGATCCTGCTGTTGCAACTAGATTGGCTCGCGCATGGGCGCTTGGTGATTGCCATGCGTGCTCTCTCACGCATGCTTAAATTCTCTGTCACTGTGCACTGAGGCGGCAGCCAGCGAGCATCACGCATTGCGACTTTGACCCGCCGTCATCAAACACATGATCTGTCCCTGATCACAGAGACGATCGCTGGCACGAGTGCTTGTACGCTGTGATTCGGCGTGGCCTATGCGTGTCAATTTGTCTGACTCGTTTGGCGGCCCTTTGGCTGCATTGGCGAGGCATTGCAAGCAACTTTGAGCATTTGCTTTGGCGTTGGCTTGAATATGATCTCTCGTTGCCCGTGCGCCAGCTCGCTGTGAGCCGCGTGTTTTTTTTTTTGTTCGAAGCGACTTGAATGTGAACGAATCGCTTGTAACATTTTGGTAGTGCTGCTCTTGGGGGAAGGGAGGATCAGTGCAGTTGGATGATGGAAGAGGGATGAAGATCCTGCTGCCACTTGCTCCGTTCGCATATGAGCACCTAGAGACAAGAGCTGCTGTCAAGGTCAAGGTTAAACCTTGACAGGTAGCGTGCTCTCTCTCTCTCTCGATCTCTCTCCTTGTCTTTCAGATTGTCATACCTCTGTAGATTTACATTTTGAGGGCAGCAGGGAAGCAGCATGCACTGCGACATGGAGCCGCCGTCATCAAATACATCGGCTCGCCTTCCTCACAGAATCGATCGCCGGCACGAGCGCTCACTTTGGTGGTGCGCGGTGACTCGGCGGGGCCAACGTGTTGACTATTCTCACTCAATCTGCGGCGGTTTGGGGAGGTCGCGATGCCATGCTGTCATGGACCATCGTCTGCACCACCACCACTACGCCCTTGTCATCTGCACCACCTGCATCGGCATCAGCATCATCATCATCGCCGCCGTGATCGTTGTCGTCCTCGTAGTCATCTCGTCATCATCGGCGTCGTCGCCTCGCTCTTTCGGGTCACAAGTATCATTCGCCCGCTCGAGGTATAGATCTGCATGATACTGGGCCTCGCACACTGCGCCAGTTTATTTGTGTCAAGAAGTTGCGGCTGGGTCGGTGGGATACTTGGTGGAGCTTCGGAACTGGCGACTCGAATACATTTAAACATTTAGCGCATCCCATGGATTCCTTCTTCTCAAGATGCTCTTACCTTACCACCTTGTCAACGTCGGATTTGACAGGCGGTGCATTTTTCCATTAGTGTGCACGATCGCTTTTGCAGAACATCCAGAGAGGAACATCCCTTACCGACCGGCAGTGAGCCCACGAGGTCGTTGTCAAACAGCAAGGTGCGGTGCGCACGCATTCATCGAACATCATGCGCATTGTGTAATATTTCCAGCTCGATGATATTAAGCGAACCAGACACGCGCGCCCCTGCGAACGCATGCCGAACGAAGTTTCAAAACGGTAGCATTGTTAGAAGCCTTGGAACGTAGTGACTTTCAACGCATATAATTTGGTGTGAAGGTAGTGCGTGCTAATTGGGCGACAAATTTTCTCGCGTACATGTTGAACACACAAGTGAGCCACATGTATGGTTTGCCACTCCTGCCCGACAGGGCCATGCGGACCACGCACGCGCGCATGTCGAAGTCGTTCAAACTCCATCGCGCACCCGCCGAATCTGTCAAACAAATCAATGCGGGTCACAGGCGCGCGCTTATCCGAGCGCGCGCCGAAAACATCCAAAAAGATGTGCTCGCTATTTCAAGCTGGAGCTGCTCGAAAACAGTTAGAACAGTTTATTGGTATGCCGATGTCTGAGTTTCTTTGATCGCACTTGGCAAAATCAGAAGCGCCGTTTTCTCGGCTGGCCCCCCGTCATCCCGTCGCCATCATCACCATCGCCACCCTTTCCATCCAATCACACCACCATCCTCACCGGCATCTTCATTCGCTGTCATCTGTGTTCAAGCCATTTGGGTTGAAGCGTTTGCAGCATCAGCTTGTCGCGGCCCCCGCCTGCCCGCTTCCAAGTTGCAGGGGCGAACCGCGGAGGGTCGAGGCTGCGCAGAGTAACCATGAGCGTGACAGTCCCGCAGATGTTGGAGCCAGAGTTCTGTCCCCCTCCTGGGCTGTGCCTGTCCGACGGGTGCGGCGGCAGCGGCGCGCCCTGGGCTAGGCAGCAGCCGTTTGAAGCCGAGTTCAGCGCTGGCTTCGGCGCGCGCAACGTGATCGACTGCAGCCAGGCGGTCGAATGCAGCCGCAGCGGGCCAAAGGCTCGAGTCTCCATGGAGCGACACTACAAATGGATCAACCGGCAGATCACTAGCGCGGCCGAGTCTGGCGACGTCACATGGCTCTTCGACGTCATACAGCAGCATGTGAGCGAGATGAACTTGATCAATTGTTCCACCGCCCTGCACCGCGTCGCCAAGCTTGCGCTCGGGAGCAGCGTGCAGGAGCGCGGGAGGCTGGTGGAGCACGAGGCCATTCGGCGCTTGCGCAGGAAGCTGGCGGGGCACGTCAGCGAGATGGCGGGCGACGACAACAATGGGCATGCACGCGGCGGCGAGTTGCAGTCCGAGATGCGGTGCTTGAGCATCATCTGCTGGTCCTGCGCCACGATGCGAATTCGTGAGGCAAGCTTCTTCCAGCACGTGGCGGCCATCTCTGGCGAGAGGCTCTCCGAGATGAAGCCGTTCGAGCTGTCCAATATGCTCTGGGCGTTTGCCAAGCTCTCGTTCGGCCACACGAGCATCTTTGAGGGATTGGCCCCCTACTTGTTGCGCCGCCGGCCGGGGCAGATCAGCCCACAGTGCCTGTCGACGATCGTTTGGGCCTTCGGCACGGCGAAAGTGCACCATGCTGCCCTCTTCACCAGCGTTGCACACGAGCTGTCGCAGCACGCGTCGAGCATGGGCCCGCAGGGCATCGCGAACACCGCCTGGGCGTTCGCGCGTGTGCGGCGCCAGGAGCTGAACCTCTTCCGCCTGCTTGCGGAGGCGACTGTTCAGGAGTCCGCGTTGTGGAACTTCAAGCCCCAGGAGTTGTCGAACATCGTGTGGGCGTTTGCAACGGTTGGCCTGACGCACCCGCCCCTGTTCGAGAGCATCATGGAGGTCGCCGTGCAGCGCCGCGCGGAGCTCCCGCCACAGAACATCGCCAACATGCTGTGGGCCTACGCGAAGCTTGGGGTGCCCTCCCGCTGGCGCCTGTTCCCGCCGCTGCTCGAGGTCACGGAGCAGAACCTCGAGGCGTACAAGCCCCAGGAGGTGTCGGCCATATTGTGGGCCGTGGCCCGCGAGGTGGGTTGCAGCCCCTCGTGCCGGCGGTTCTTCCTGGCGGTGCCCCGCCACTTCGAGGGCCGCCTGCAGGAGTTCACCTCGCAGGGTCTGGCGTGCATGGTGGAGGCCTACACGCTCGCGGAGGTGGATGGCCTCAGCTTCTTCGACGGCATCCTGAGGGAGAGCATGAATCAGCTGGACAGCTTCCAGCCGCCATCACTCTGCACCCTCTTTCGCGGGGTCGCCATCAAGGCCAGACGCGAGCTCGCCGGAAAGGATTCCGCGCAAACACCGGACCACGTCAGGACCATATCTGACCACATCGCCGCCAGGCTGCCCGAGATGCAGCGGCACAACATTGTGCACCTGGCCCAGAGCCTGGACCTTCTCCCCGCGCACGCACAAGTGACAAGCGCCGCGAAGCTCTGGGAGAGCAGCACCCTCCTGGCCGTCCAGCACCTTCAGGGTGACCTCTGCGAGCCCATGGGCCCGACGTTGCTTCCCGACCCGCAGCACGGCTCAGGCCCAGAAAGCAACGACGTCCCCTCACCCCCCAAGGGCCGCCATACCGGCGGGCTGGGGCTCGGCGGGCAACGGCAGCCCCAGCGTCGGGGACTTCAGCCAGGCCCGCAGTCGCTGCAGCCGCAGCCGCCCCCGTGCGCGGAGGTGCCGTGGCCAGTGCCCCTAAACGGAAAGGGGCCGACGAGGGACGCCCTCGACGTCTCTGCCACGCTGGCCGCACACGGGGGCCGCCACGACGCCGACGAGATGCCGGCGGACCTGCTGCCTCGCAGCTGCCCCGCGCCCAACAAGCACGGGATCATCGGGCCAGCGCAGGCGCTGCAGGAGAGCCAGGGCAGGGCGGCGACCGTCTGGGACCTCCACAGCTTTTGGAGCCTCGGCGGAAGTCTAGCCGACGAGCTCGCCCCTCCATTCTGTTCTGAGCACGCGGACCAATAGACCGTCAATCAGTGCACGAATCACCCCTATCATGCGCCAACTCGCTGTGAGCCGCATTTTTTGGTCGGTATGAGGAGAGTTGGATTTGGACTAATAATTGGTAGTATTTCGCCAGTGCTGCTCAACGGGGGAGGGAAGATCAGCGATTCAGCTGGTAGGTGGAGGGGGGAAGAATATCCTGCTGCCACTATATCCGTTCGCATATGAGCGATTAGTGTGATTGTCGAGCTCTACAAAACATCTAGACAGTTAGCGTACGAGGGTTGCCAGGAAGCAACCTGCATTGCGACATGACACCGCCGTCATCATACAGGTTCTCTTACCCTCCGGACAGAGGAACGTCGCCACGAGGGCCTTTGTTGGGGAAACGCTGTGACTCGGCGGGGCCAACCTGGCGACTGTCCTCGCCCATTAGGGGTTTCGATGTCGCGCTGTCACGGGCCGTCGTCTGCAGCGGCGCGGCATTGCGAGCAACGTTCGGCATATGTTGCAGCGTGCAGTTGAATTTGCATGTGTCCTCGTTGCCCATGCGCCAGCCCACTATTGTATGAGCCGTTGTGTTGGTCAATACGAAGCGAATCGAATGTGAAAGAATCGTTCGTGCAATTCTGATAGTGCTGCCTGTGGGGAATGGGAGGATCAGCTTTCGGCAGGCAATTGGAGGAGTGGGGAGGAAGATCATGCTGCTGCAACCCGATTCGCTCGCATATGAGCGCTTAGTGATTTCCAAGCGGATCTCTCTCACGCGCGCTTCAATCCGCTGTTATTGCGCACATAGAGGGCGGCCAGGGAGCAGCCCGGATTGCGGCATTGATCCGCCGTCGTCAACCACTTAAGCTGCCCCTTCTCACAGGGACCATCGCTGGCGCCAGCGCTGGTACGCTGTGACTCGGCGGGGCCTGCATGTCGACCAGCCTCACTCGTTCGGCGGCCGTTTGGAGGGGTTGCGATGCCGTGCTGTCACGGACGAAAGTCTGCATTGGCGAGGCATTGCAAGCAACGTTGAGTATAAGTTCCCGCGTCGGTTTGAATTTGCATATTTTCTTGTTGCTCGTGCGCCAGGTCGCTGTGTGCCACGTTTTGTTCTTGAGAAGGGAGTTGCATTTGAACGACTCGCCGGTCAGATTCCGCTTGTGCTGCTCGTGGGGGAAGGGGGAGGATCAGCGATTCAGCGAGTAAATGGAAGAGGGAAGAAGATCCTGTGCAGCTAGATTCGCTCGCATATGAGCGCTAGTATTTGCCACGCGTGTTCTCTCACGCACGCTTCAATAATTTGTCCCTGTGCACTGAAAGGGCGGCCGGGGAGCAGCTTGCACTGCGACATGGAGCCGCCGTCATCAAAAATCAGACCTTCCCCTTCTCACAGAGACTAACGCCGGCACAAGCGCCCGACCTAGGTGTACGCTGTGACCCAGCGGGGCTAACTGGTTGACTGTGCCCACTCCCTCGGCGGCCGTTTGGGAAGGTTGCGATGCCATGCTGTCTCGGACCATCGTCTGCATTGGCGAGGCATTGCGAGCAACGTGCAGCATATGCTTCAGCGTCGGCTTGAATTTGCATAGTATCTAGCTGCCAGTGCGCGCTGTGAGCCGCGTTCTGCTTTTGAGAAGGGATCTGTATTTGAACGAATCGCTTGTAACATTTGTCTGGTGCTGTTGCTGGGGGAAGGGAGGATCAGAGGTTCAGCTGGTAGATGGAACGAGGGAGTCAGATCCTGCTGCCACTAGAATCGCTCGCATATGAGCGCCTAGTGACGGGAGCTGTTGTCAAGGTCGAGGTGGAGTTTTGACAGCAAGAGTGTTCTCACTCACTCTCTCTCTCTCTCTTTCTCCCCTTCACGCTTCGATGTCTGTGTAAAAGTGCGCACGAGGACAGCCAGGGAGCACCGTGCATTACCACATGGAGCCGCCGTCATCAAATACCTCACCTTGCCCTCCTCACAGAAACGATCGCCAGCACTAGCGCCCATTTTGGTGGTGCGCGGTGACATGGCGGGGCCACCTCGTCGACTGTTCTCACTCCTTCGTCGGCCGTCTGGGGAGGTTGCGATGCCATGCTATCACGGACCATCGTGTGCACTGCCATCACCAACGCCATTATCATCAACACTACTACTATCATCATCATCATCATCATCATCATCATCATCATCATCATCATCATCAGCATCATCATCATCATCATCATCATCATCATCATTATCATTATCAGTATCAGTATCAGTATCATTGTCATCATCACCACCACCATCATCATCATCATCATCATCATCATAATCGTCATCATCGTCATCGTCATCGTCATCGTCATCAGCATAATTATAAGTATTTTGTCATTTTTTGTATCATTACCATCATTCTTACCAGCATCAACATCATCATCATCATCATCATCATCATCATCATCATCATCATCATCATCATCATCATCATCATTCCTGGAACTCGAAGGGGAGCGGCCACCCTGAATCCCCAGAAACACGAGCACAGGAAATAATATTTAAAAACTGATATTCCTGGAACTCGAAGTGGAGGGGGGCAGCTTACCTTTGCCCCCGACGCGTCTAGACCAATTTGTAAACTACAGCCTACAACCGAGATGCATGGAAAAGGGGGAGGGGGGAAATTCCGTACAAAACTGCCTTTGTCTACGTAATTGCCCCCTTGGGCCTTCCAGCACGCAACGGGTCTTTTTCACAGCCGCACTGGTGGCCCCGTCGAGGGGCGAAAGGTTTCTGCGGTGTCTGCCACCGGCCAAGGTCCGAGCAGGCACCGCGACGATCGTCGAGGCACCAGTACGACGAGAGGAACGCTTTTCTCGGGACTGGCGTCAGCCGCCCCTCTGCCTGCGCTTCTGGCGCTTGGCCCGCGCCGCAAGCTCAGCAGACCGGGGCTCCTCTGGGCACCCCGAGTCCGAGGAGGTGGGCTCGGAGACGTCGCCGAGCTTTAGGACGGCCTCGAGCTCCTGCTTGATGGAGTTTTTGAGCCGCTTGTACTTGCCGTTGGCGTCCACGCTGAGCGCCCGGATGATGGCCAGCTCGGGATTGGCCCAGAAGTCGGAGCCCAGCTGCGCGATGGCATGGCCTGCCCGAGCTCGGTGACGGACGAGCTCGTATTGCTTGGTGTAGCGCTGCACCGCCGACGTCGACTTCCAGCGGCCTCGCCGGCGCGTGGCCTCCAACGTCTGACCCGTCTCAACGAAGTCGGCTGCGCCTGAGTGGCGCAGGCTATGCGGAGGCCCACTCCATTCCAAGTCGAGGGCCATGAGCGCCGACCACCAGACCTTGCGGAAGGAGGCGGCGGACAGCGGGAAGAGAAGGTCGCCGTCGGTGGTGACGCCGGCGACAGCCTTCAGGAGAGCCCGCACAAAAGGGAACCGTAGCACCACTCCTTGATCGCTGCCCGTCTTGACTGTCTCGCCGCGGGCGCGAACACCAAGCGCCAGACCTCGCCGAAACCCTATCAAAAGAAACGTCCTCAGTCATCAACAAACTCCAATCTTGCTCTCGAAGCAGGCAGTCGAACGATAGCAGCACCAGCACGCCCTCGTAGATCCTGTTGTTCTGGAGCATTCACACGGCGATCGCCGCGATGGAAGCGCGGTCGAGCGGCTTGCCCTCTCCCTGCGCGGCCAGTCGGAGCCACGTTTTCAGGGCCCGAGCTGACCGCGGCATCTTGTCACGGTGGTCCTCGTAGATGTGCAGGAGGCCGAAGAAGACCGCCATTGCCCACTTTCACGCTCTCGCGGTGCAGGTTGCAGAGCGCCGAGAGGTAGTTCGCCATGGCCACGTCGCGCTCGTCGTAGGAGCTGAAGGGGGCATTCTGCCTCTGCGCATCCTGCAGGAAGCGCTTCACTTCCTTGACGTACCGCCTGTTGGTGTTGTCGTCGACGGCGTGCACGCACAGCCGGCTGGCGTAGCGCAGCTGGTCGCGGCCGACCTGCTCCCACGCGCGGGCGCCGCGGCCCGTCAAGGGCGGGGGCGCGCCGGAGCCGCGGCGCCCCGAGGTGGATCGACGGGGCGACGAGGGGGGCGCATCTACGCCGTAGCTGGACACGTGGACGCTGAAGACGAGGATCATCACCAGTGGGCTGCATCGTGTCCTCCGCCATGCCCTTGATGACGTCGAAAGGCTGCCCTCAGAGTCCGCGGCAGACCTCTGGTGACGTGCCCTCGCACCGTGTCGGCGTCGGCTCCCTTGAGTTCCTTGCGAGACGGGGCGTCGGCCACGTTGATTTCGCCCCGCGCCCATCGGAGGTAGGTGCGAAGGCCGCAGGCGAGCTGAATGCCCGTGGCCACGCGGCACAGCCTCGGGAGCTCGCGAGACGAGGCGCGACCCTTGCCGACCGCGCCCACGACGACCAGGGAGTCGGTGAAGATGAGGACGCGCTTGTTCCAGGAGCGGCTGCTCCTCGACAGGTGGCGGAGCACCGCCAGCGCCCCACGGCCCTCGAGGATGTCGCGCTCGTGTCGCTCCCGGCGCCCAGCGAAGGCCGTGGTTCAGCGCTCGATGTCCGTCCGCTCGGCGGCCAGCGGCGGCGCCGGCTGCTTGGCCGCCCTCCGCATGTGCGGGGGGGGGGGGGGGCGACAGAACCCTGGCGGCGCCTGCTGCGCCGCGATGTTCACAATATCTTCGTATAGAGCTCCTGGATACGGGCAGGCCAGCTTGGTCCACTTCGCACCGCAAGGAGCATCCCCACGTAAAACTTGATGTGGCTGTCTCGTAGATGAACAAGATCTGGCCGTACCTGTACACGTTCTGTCGATCGCCTGCGGCGCTTCGCACGAAGTCAGCAGCTTGGTCGGCTTCTTCCAGGATGTCCCGAACTGGCAGTAGTCAAGCACGATGGTGTAGACGTCCGCCCTTGATTCGAGCGCTTGCATCTCGGGCAGCTGCCAGATGAGGCTGTCTAGCGAGTTCTCGAGGGTGAAGAAGATCCCCAGGGTAGTTGCCAGAAGACAAGACTCGATCGCGACCATCGCCAGCATGGTACCGTCCTTC